CATTATCTGTACTAGAAATAAACTATTATATATATTTTTTTATATACACCTTCACATAAAAAAACTATCTGCCAGCAGGAAGACCAATATGAGTCTGCATACCATAATGAACTTAGAAAAACTGCGGTGCTATTAAAGAAAGTCTTTAAACATAATATGCATGATGTGTATGAGAAAGTAAGCACTAGTAGTGAGACTTCACAACCAATTTGCTTATAAGTCCTCCAACATGATGTTCAAAAACAAAATTCCAAAAGTGCATCTGTGTCCAGGGCTGCTGTTAGAAACCACGGGGCCCCATACAGCCAACCTGACAGGGCCCCAATTTTAAAAAAAAACCCAGTTGACTATGCTTTAGTTATGAATGAACACAGTGAGTGATGGGTATCAGTACTGGTATGGCTCTCTCTGCAGCAGCTGGAAGCCAGCAAGACGAAGAGGAAAAAGAAGCCAGCTTTTAGCTGCTGCAGAGAGAGACATACAGGGGATTGGTTCCAGTAATTGCCCCCTGCCAGACGATCAGCCTCTCTGCCCAAATTGGATTCACCCAACTGCCTGGGCCCCTCTGCTGGCCTGGGCCCCATACAGGAGGACTGGTGGTACCCCTTTATCCACAGCTCCTGTCTGTGTCACTTTACTTTAGCAAGACTTCCATGACATAAGTGACACCTCTGTGAATCACCACCACCACGTATTAAGTCCAAGGCTTACCATGGTTAACCAGAAGGTTGGACCTTTGAACAGAATGGTCAATACATGCATGGGTATGGTACAATCCCTTTACAGGATGCACAAAAAAAATCACAAGCGCCTCATCCATTTCCAAATCAGATCACTAAAATCAGGCGAAAAAACATTCCGAAAGTGTAGCTTACCCTAGGCTCATTTTTTATTAGAATCACATTAAAAACAATTCCATCGATTCAAAAAAGGCCACTACCTTCATGATTGGTGGTGTGCGTTATGACGTTAGTGCCCAGAACCTTTTTCTTACACGATTTGCGGTGTGTGTGTGATGACATCATCCAGAAGCTCATTTTTCTACACAACAGGATGTCCTCAGGGGGCTCCGGAATTTAACCTCACTTACCTTTGGAACATTAGTTTACTGGGTCCACAAATTGTGTACAGGTTGGGTTCCCCTCGAATCTATGTTGAACTTGAATTTCATCCCTTCTACTAATATATACATCCCTATATTAAAAAGGTCACAACAACTGCACAGCATTTAAGATATGTGATATGTTTCACATTGCTGTGCGGCATTTTACTCAGTGTTAGCTCATGTTGCAGGCAAAAGTAACAAAAAAAAAGACCAAAAATGTGTCCTATTAACAGGACTGAAGATGTTCCTTCAGTTGTGTGTGTGGGGGGGGGGGGGGGGGGGTGACTTCCCATCTTTTTGCTGGTGAAGTCTCCAAGGTTCAGCTTTCATTTTCACAGTCACATCCTGCTCTGGTTTTTAGTTTATACAGGTCCTATTCTTGTATCAGGAACACAGACATCTACTCCTGTGTACATCAAGGCTTAATTTATAAATACTTTGTAACAATATTGGTATGATGAATTTTAGTAACAGGCAGTATGGATGAAGTATACAAAGAGTGTTGACATGTTTTCTTTTCTTCGCTGTGTACATGTCCGCTCTGCATAAGTGGAATGAACATGGATCTGTCAGTAGGGATCAGTAGACAGATTCCCCGCTGAGTAGGCGGATCAGTAGCCGGAGTCAAGAAAGGGGCCTTAGGCTGCGTTCACACTACCGGGGCTCTGAAAGCCATGATTTGCGCAGGTACGGCAGCCCATTCGAGTGAATGGGCTGTCGTGCATCCTGAAATGCAGGGAAAAGGTCTCTGCGTATTTTTAGAAATCACAGCCGTGATTTCCAGTGCTTGCAGCTTGCCATCAGGACTAATGACACCCACACACATCTCCTATGTTTTTCTATGTGGGTGGTTGCGGCTGTGGGAACAGGCGCAGACTCACAGCTGCAATCACCCACACAGATGTGGACCTAGCCTAAGTTATTCCCATTTAGTTACTGTCCTTAGCTTTCTTTAGAATTTTTTTTTGTATTGAATATTGTATTTAAAAATATCAATTTTGTAAACATGGACACAGTCATAGTCTTGGCAGACCGTACAACTACTAAGGGACCCTGAACTAACCAGATACACAGTGATTCATGCAGATAGCAACACAATTTGAAAACAAAGCTTGGATAAATGTACACATAGTTTGAGAACCTCTATAAAACTTCAAAGGAGTGTCAAACTGGCGGTCCTCCAGCTGTTGTTAAACTACAAGTCCCATCATGCCTCTGTCTTTGAGAGTCATGCTTGTAACTGGCAATCTTGCAATGATTCATGGGATTTGTAGTTTGGCAACAGCTGGAGGGCCACCAGTTTTACACCTGTGCATTAGAGAAACTGCCTTTTAGATATAAACTGTAATAGTGCCTCTTAAAGTGTTGCCAAATCTACAAAAGTAAAATAAGCCTGTATATGCAGTAAAGCATGCTTGTCATACTCACTGTGGAACCTAAGGGGTTAATCCACTGCATTGTGTAAAAAGGCTGTTTGATCCTGACTTCTCTGCCCCTCCTCTTGTTCAAATGTCCATGCTGATAACACAGACTGAACCCGTAGCTCTTCTGCACATGCTCAGTTTAGTGTGTATTGCTAGAGAGTTTTTTTTCCTTGGGATAGTGCACGTGATCAGCACAGGGCCAACCAGCACTGTCCAGACAGAGCTCAGGGGTTTTGCAGCCTTCTAGAGCAGACAGAAAACTCCTCCTACAAGCTTTTACGAGTGCTTGGCTGAAGTCACAAGACTGCTGTAATTTCTGATGAGAAAAGCAGCTTATATTTACTAAAATAATTGCACTTCTATGTTCTGTGTACTGTGGGGGACCAGATATAGTGAATGCAGGGTCCTGAGTTTAGTAAAGCTGAACTCTAGGCAAAACAGCTAAATACACAGATGAAATACATACATGAGAGCTGTTTTACCTGCCTACATATTTGTATTTCTGCCCATCCAGTTCTGAGACTTATAAAGCTCTGTACCACTGTACAGCCCTGTCTAACAGGGTAGGGGACCTGATTCTTCTTTGCTGCAATTTCACTTTAACTCATAGGCCCCCTCTCCACCCCTATCATGTGACTGCACAGTGAAAGGAGAAATAGCACCCGGATTTTGCCCATATAGTGGTCAGAGCTATAAGCAGTAGCAGGGTGAGTTTTCTTTACTTTATTTTAATGGTGAAACCATTGATTGGGACAAGGGGGTGAGGGCTGTACAGAGCATGTAAATGTTATTTTTTTATCTGACCCTCACGGACCCACTGAAACCCATCCATGGAACACTGGGTCCATGGGCCCCAGGTTAAGGACCCCTGATCTAGAGCATGTATGTTGTACAAACATAAGGGAAAAAGACAGGAAAAGAATATTATTTGTGTCAGCACAGTGGCTAAATGGTTAGCACTTCCGCCTGGCAACACTAGGGTTGTTGGCTGAAATCCCAACCATATATATATATATATTATATATATATAAAGCACTGCATAAATTGATAGCTCTATGTCAGTATTAAATTTACAAAACTGACAATTTTCTGTCCCTAAATCAGCATTAAACAGAAACTTGGCATTAAATGTTCTTCTCATTTATTTAAGACAAAAGGAGTAAATCTGTTACAAGAAAAATAAAGAAACGTCACCTTCTGACTTTGTTCTAAAGTGGCTAGCTGCCTGGCTGTTATTTGCTAGCCTTCTGGCTTTGGTTATTGAGCAGGAGAAAGTATGTGGATGTGCAAGTCTGAAAAGTCAGACAACCCTATCTACATTGTTCTATGTTGTGACTCAAATTGTTGATGCTAGCATATCAGCATGACAGCAAGGTTTTTCTCATTTTCAAGGAGATGTACGTAATGGCACCTCCATTTTTGTCTCTTGACAGGTTTCTTTGATCCTTTGACAAAGTCAGAAATGACGAAACGCGTCAGTTTGTGACATCAGACGTAGACCGGAAGTTGTGTGGTGGCCATCTTTGATAAGGTCTAGAGAGAGTAAACGTTGATGTTGATCTTGGATGACGAACAAACACTGATGTGCACTATTTTTTTGTAAGCACTTTTTTACCTTAACCACTTCCCGTACGGTCCATGTATATAAACGGCCGGACGGGAGCAGTGCAGGGGTGGGTGGCCATTTATAAATGGTCTCCCCACTCCCTGTTTGTGCGCGCTCCATGGGAACGCGCAGCACCGCGATCCAGTGCCCGCTGTATCCTCCGGACACAGTGGAACACTGATCATTGTACTGGACCTCTGTGTCATGATCACAGGGGTCACATGGTACAAGGCTATTCACAACAGCCTTGTACCATGTGACAAGCTGTGACCAATCACAGTTCACACAGTATTTCTCAATGGCTGCAAGAACGCAGCCAGAGAGAAGGAGAAAGGATTGTTTTTACAGCCTTTATGGGTGTAAAAGCAATCAGTGTAAAAAAAAAAAAAAAATCTTCATCACCCCCCACAAAGTAGTACAGTGTCACTGTGGTAAGACTGTACTGCTAGGGTGACAGTATGTTTAAAAAAAAAAAAACATAAATAATAATATTAAATTAAAATGTAAACATTTTTTTTGAAAAATTATAATTTTTGGTTATAAATTTATTTGGGTTTTTTTTACTAAAAAGATAACTGAATACATTTTGGGCAAGATTTATGAAGAAATATTATTTATTTGCAAAATTTTATAAAAAAAATACTCTATTTTAAAATTTTTGGACTTTTTCATTTATATAGCAAAAAAAAAAAAAATCCCAGTGGTGAATAAATACCACCAAAATAAAGTTTTATCTGTCTCAAAAAAATGCAAAAAAATTCATATGGTTACAGTGTTGTATGACCGTGCAATTGTCATTCAAAGTGTGATAGCACTGAAGGCTGACAATTGGCCTGGACAGGAAGGGGGTAAAAGTGTCCGGACCAGGGGCGGACTGACCATTTGAAAACTTGGGCACTGCCCGAGGGCCCGGGGTCAGTAGGGGGCCCCATGAGATGCCCCTGGTACCTTTTTCATAGGCTTTTTTTGAGTTTGGGCAAGGACACGGGCCCCATGATCCCCTACTGCCCGGGGGCCCCATGAGTTGTCAGTCCCTGGTCCGGACTTGAAGTGGTTAATAAACCATTGGTTTTAAACTGTAATGCACAATGTATGCTGATCTGTTTTGACCTACATATTGTTATCATTGGAAAAACGGGAATAATGTTGGTCAGGAAGAGCTGTCTCTATCCAATGCTATCCAACTGATTTAGTCCGGTAAGGTGCATGGTCTGTGAGGTGGTGGAGTGGTTCTATCACTTTTCACTGGTGGTCACAATTTGATAAATAGTGGAGTACGGGAGGACACGATATTGATGAATTGATAGTACTACACTATGTAATATAATTTTTCCGGAGGGTACATCTCCTGTGAAGGGGAGGACAGAAAGAAGAAGCTGTGATGTGAACTGAAGATAATTTTCTGTGGAACTTGTTACAAGGCGATTTAAATATAAACAGAAGGTAAGAGTAAGAATTGCAGATGAATAGAAGTGAACACGTGGTGGAGCGGATATGCACGAATGTTGACACATTTTTGTGAGTGTGATTCATTTAAGATAGTTATGAGCATATTAAGGATAATGCGCTATGTGTGTTTATTTGCATCTTTTTGAGGGTACGAAGATGAAGATTATGATGTGAGTGAGAATTGCACACTGAAGGATATTGAAAAAGAAGAAGGAGAGTCTACATATGGTTATAGGGGATATTTACTGTTTGGACACTGTAAAGGACTTTTGATTTTGAACTTTCTGGGGAGAAAGTGATATCTTGACGCCCAGGGATTGGACACTTATTGGATTGTGTATGTGTAGTGGATACTGGTTGTAATAAATGTATAACAGAAACTTGGCTTTGAATGTTCTTTTCATTTATTTAAGACAAAATAAGTAAATCTGTTACAAGAAAAATAGAGAAACTTCAGCTTCTGACTTTGTTCTAAAATGGCTAGCTGCCTAGCTGTTTTGCTAGCCTTCTGGCTTCGGTTATTGAGCAGGAGAAAGTATGTGGATGTGCAAATACAAGGAAAAGTCAGACAACCCTATCTACATTGTTGTTCTATGTTGTGACTCAAATTGTTGATGCTAGCATGTCAGCATGACAGCAAGGTTTTTCTAATTTTTAAAGCAGATGTACGTAATGGCACCTCCATGTTTGTCTCTTGACAGGTTTCCGTTAAATATGTAAAATCTCTGGTTGCTGGTAAAATAGGGATAGGGTAAATACATGTTTAAAACGCATTAGCTCTTATGAAAGATAACTTTATATTTATAGCACATATTTTATTTATATCTAGGGGCACTGAGCAAGTTTGAAAATAAAATAAAAGAGATCAAGCCCACTATAACCTATGCTTCTTTACATCCTAACACATTCTGCATTGTACAGTGTAGAGTGCAACAAACCAGGACTGTACGTGATAATAAAGCTATCCTTTCCAAATACTGTATGTTCAATTCAGTGCTATCCATACCTGGACCTATGAATTATTTGTATTGCGCACTGCACTTATGTAATCACTAGAGATACAGACCTCAAAGTGCTGGAAGAAGAAAGGCCTGCAAGAAAGCTAGGTCCTGCCTACTTGCCATCACATATGATTCCAGACAGGCTTATGGAAAGCAGAATGTATATATAGGAGAAACACTAATAGCTTCCTTGGTTTAGATGTGATGGTAGCACCCACACAGAAAAGACAGACATAAGTGGATACGTTTTTGGATGAATTGTGTATCAAAAATTCAGATCTACACAAACAACTTTGCCAACCATTTCCTTACTTGAGAACTGCGATCTTTGGTCCAAGCCAGTATAAACATTGCTTTGTTTTCATACATCCTTTCTTCATTACACTAGCACTATGCACAAAAGGACTGAGAGAAATAATAGGAAGCTGTATGGATCTATTTAGAAGCAGATACAAATAGAGATGGGTCTCTGCTTTCCAAATTCTGGTTGGAATTTACTTAATTAAACACCAAACACCCACAGTTAATGGGGTTCCAAAGTGCTGTATAGTGAAACCCTCCAGAAGCCCCCAGCCTGTCTCTGATGACTCATCTTCTCTACACCGCCCTCCTATCCCACGTGGAAGAAAAATATATTTGAAATATATTTTTTTAATATTCTTCCCAAATATATAGCCATATATTTGAAATGCTACAATTTTTGCCATATTCAATATATTTCAAAATATATTTCAATAAATATATATATATATATATATATATATATATATATATATATAACAAACAGAAAACTGATGTTGCGCTAATCACAATAATGCCACAGACATTCCAAAACAAATATATATATATATACACCCTGTTCCAAATTACTATGCAAATTCTATTTAAGTGTCACAAAGATGAAATATTTTGTTTTTCAGTTTAACTCATGGATGGCATTGTGTCTCAGGGCTCTTTTGATCACTGAAAACAATCTCGGACACCTGTGATAATTAGATTTGACAGGTGAGCCCAATTTAAGGAAAAACTACTAAAGGACGGTGTTCCACATTATTAAGCAGAGCACCATTTTCAAGCAATATGGGGAAGAAAAAGGATCTCTCTGCTGCCGAAAAGAGTGAAATAGTTCAGTGCCTTGGACGAGGTATGAAAACATTAGATATTTCACGAAAACGTAAGCGTGATCATCGCACTATTAAGAGATTTGTGGCTGATTCAGAGCACAGAGGGGTTCGTGCAGATAAAGGCACATTGAGGAAGATTTCTGCCAGATCCATGCATCGGATCAAGAGAGCAGCTGCTAAAATACCATTACATAGCAGCAAACAGATATTTGAAGCTGCTGGTGCCTCTGGAGTCCCACGGACATCAAGGTGTAGAGTCCTCCAGAGTCTTGCAACTGTGCATAAACCTTCTATTCAGCCACCACTAACCAATGCTCACAAGCAGAAATGATGAGTGCCATGCAACCCTGGATGGTCCAGATGGATGGAGTAGTGGATGGTTGGTGGACGGCCACCCTGTTCCAACAAGGCTGCGACGTCAGCAAGGCGGTGGTGGAGTCATGTTTTGGGCCGGAATCATGGGAACAGAGCTGGTCGGCCCCTTTAGGGTCCCCGAAGGTATAAAGATGACCTCTGCAAGGTATGTGGAGTTTATGACTGACCACTTTCTTCCCTGGTACAGAAGGAAGAACTATGCTTTCCATAATAAAATCATCTTCATGCATGACAATGCATCATCTCATGCTGCAAAGAATACCTCTGCATCAATGGCTGCTATGGGGATAAAAGGAGAGAAAGTCATGGTGTGGCCTCCATCCTCCCCTGACCTCAATCCTATTGAGAACCTTTGGAGCATCTTCAAGCAAAAGATCTATGATGGTGGGAGGAAGTTTACATTCAAACAGCAGCTCCCAGAGCGGGAGGCTATTCTGACATCTTGCAAACAAATTCAAGCAGAAACTGTCCAAAAACTCACAAGTTCAATGGATGCAAGACTTGTGAAGCTGCTATCAAATAAGGGGTCCTATGTTAAAATGTAACGTGACCTGTTAAAATGTTTAAAAAGTTAAAATGTTGTTAAAAGTTTGATTGAAATAGCTTTTGATTTCAGTAAATATGCTGCAAACACAACAAATGACAATTTTCAGTTCTTTACAACCTATAAAGTGTTTTGAAAATTACTGTGCGTAATAATTAGAAACAGTGCATTGTAAGTGTTTTATGTTTAACAAAAATACTGTTATCATTAGGAGGTTTGTTCAATAAAATGTGAATTGTACTCTTAACCTCCTTGGCGGTGGTGTAGCTCGGGGTAAAATTTCAGTACCAAGAGCGGTAACCCCGAGCTACACTCGGGCTTACCATGCGGCGTTGCTCAGGGAGTCCCTGTAGCACTTACCTTGTCCTTCGCTCCCGCGATGTGTCCCCTGCAGCGTCCCTGGCTATCTCCTCCGGCCGATGCCGGCATCCGGCTTCCGTGTTCCGTTCCCTGTGATGTCGGGACTTACGGGCGCCGGAACCGGCGGCAAATTTGATCATTTTTAAAAAATTATTATTACATAGTAAAACATTGCTGTTTCAATGCATTTCACATACATTTTGTCCCTACTGCTTTGTCCTGTGCCCTGCCTGCATTTTGACTGTTCTTTCTGTCTGGAAACTTATAAAAGTCCATGGCGTCCAAAAAGCGTCCCTTTATGTCAAAAGTGGTTGTAGACTGGCTAGAGAACAGCGATAGTAAATCAGAACCACTTGCAGAATTGAGTGATAATGATTTGTGGGGAAATTCGTCATCAGACACTGAAAACAATTTTGCGACTTTGCTCAGCGATGTGCGAATTTGCCTCTGTATTTCAAATTTCAGTGTTTTTGGTTTGATTATATTATTGAATTAAATATATAATATATTATAATTATATTATAATTTTTATGATTATTTAATAAATTATAATTTATGATTTCGTGTTTCAAGTTTTATCATATCCGGAATGTTTACTAGACTCTTGTTCGGACAGATTTCAGTGAGTTATTCCAAAAAATTATAGCCTACAATAAAAAACTACATATTTCCATGCAAAAAAATGGTACCGCTTTCAGCACAAAAAATCGGAAATAATCATACCGCCAAGGAGGTCAATAGTTGATAACATGAGAATTATGCTGACTGTTATTTACATCAATTATTTAGGTAAATGAGAAAAATATCATTTGCATAATAATTTGGAACAGGGTGTGTATATATATATATATATATATATATATATATATATATAAATATATTTTGAAATATATTGAATATGGCCAAAATTGTAGCATTTCAAATATATGGCTATATATTTGGGAAGAATATTTAAAAAATATATTTCAAATATATTTTTCTTCCATGTGGGATGTTCCAGCATTCACTGGCACAGCTCACAAATTGACATTCGCCAGGTACCGTTGAAGCCATGATGGGGACCGGGAAGGAGAGTCTGACACCATCCAGCTGCCTCTCATGCATTCCAGCTGCTGCTGTTCCTCTCCCTCCACTGCTCCCCAGTCACCAGCTGCCACTGTGTCACTTCTGTCGGGGGGTGGTGCCGCCCCCCTAAAAATGCCGCTCTAGGCAAATGCCTTGTTTGCTTCATGGCAAATATGCCCCTGGTGTTTAGACACCTAAATG